GGTAAAGTAGTTTCATGCTGTATTTTAATGCCTGGCACTAATTTGCAAGAAACACCCAACATCAATCCACTACAACATTATAATTCATGAAATACTCACAGTTAAGAGTTTAACCCCTGCATGCCAGTCTCCCAACTGCAAATTTATACCATCCAGTCTCTCTTCTTGGGTGTAGCCATTTGCAACGCTTGCTATTGTGTTGACAGCACGCTCAACACTGAGTTGATCTCCTGCAAATAACTGAGTATCAACTTCACCTTTCCCATTTTGTGGCAGATAAGTGTGAAATTTCTGGAGTACAGCCAACATTTCCTCATTTATATTTTCGTTTTTGAAAATAACTCCAAGGGGAACCTATAAAGTAACATAAGGCATTTTATTTTTTGATTTGAAGTTACACAAAAGAAATAACCTAATTGAGTGAGATCGTTGTCAAATCTGTAGTTTATAGAAGTATACTTAAAGTTTGTAGTCTCAGAACATTTACTTCATTAACTGCCTTGGCTTACAGCCTGTTCTCATGATAACAAATGCTTTTTGGAACAATAACCTATTTTATTTTAATAGCCAATCAAACTATAACTACATTACCTATACAGCATTTCACATCTAGTGTTACTAATGCTAGTTAGTCCATACATTACCTTGCTTGACTTTGAAGACATCTCCTTAGAATATCTATGAGGGATGTGGTTGATACAAACATCTTTTAGTGGAGCTAGCTGTTCAAAGTAATCTGTCAAAATTCTGGATGTTAAAACAATATAATCCATTCTCTGTTTTTCATTATCAGCGATCGTGGGGAGAAACTTGAGATTCTGTACAACAAGAATGTCAGATTTTGCCTTCTTACTATCAAGGTGGTTTCCACTAACTCTGTTCTCTATCATCTTATGGTTTACCCAGTGATAGTCACGGTTCTGTTTGGTTGCTGTCATGTTTCTTCTATGCAAATTCAGGTCGATGTTATCAAAGGAGACAACAAATCCTGGAGGGGATGATTCTTGGTGTTTTTCATTTTCCTTGGCAATGTTAGCTCTGTCTAGAAAAGAGGTTGAAGCACTTTTCTTGTCAAGAAGTAATTCAAGGTGAACATTGGCCTTTGTTATTTCTTTCTTAGCATTTTGAAGCTGTATATCATGATCCTCTCCCATCTGATCCAGTTTGCTTAGTATACAACTGTTAGATGCAGTTAACTTCAACTTTGATAATCTTTTCAGAGTAGTCTGTAGAAAAATAAGAAGAAAAATGCACACTTCAAAAACATTCTAGTAGTATATATGGCTATTGTGTTCTTGAACTTCTTTACTTTTTTGTGTTTATAATATTACTTATAAACTATATGTTGCTCACCTATTTTACTTGATATAAGCACTATGCAAATAACAAATGTATTTATTTATTTATTTATTCACATGACTATTTGTTGTTTACTTATTTATATGTTTGTTTTATTATTTATATACTTAATTTACTAAATTATTATGATAGCCACACTTAATTAAGTATTCTTATAATTATTATAAAAGTTCTATTCGATATTGCAAACTTTCCAACTTACTTCTATCGATCCAGTCTTTGATAGTATACCAAGCACAGTTGCTGCAGCATTCATTTCGCAGTTCCTTTGCTTTAAAAGGATCGAACCTGCTAGTGCCATACTGGGGCTCCATGTCTGAACACTTGATTTGCTGGTTGTACTTGCCATCAACAGAAAAGAGTAAAATATGGGCGCTTTCTGTTGCCATTCATCACAAAGGGACTTGAATTCAAACTTCATCAGGTCTTCTTTAGAAGTTTTTCTCAGAAGGGTGGGATTCTTACGAGAACAGAGGATCTTTACTTCTGTTGAAACCTGCATCAGAACCCTTTTAATTACATGTTGCCTGGTTAGTTGGCACTTCATANGAAACAGTTGTCTTTCTCCCCAAGATATTTGATTGGTGTTTGACTCATAGGTTTGTTATAAAACGTTTTGAAAGTGGACCAAACCCTATCGCTCGAAGAAAATCTACAAACTTACAGCCGTAACAAACCTACGCATGTTGGCGCGAATTCCCGCTAAATCTGATTCGCTGATTGGCTAACAAAAAAAACAATAACCGAATTCTGATTGGCTTATGCATACAATCGAAACGGAATGTGGTGCTGCTTGAAGCAGCCGTGTCTGTGAGGCAGCGTTGCGTGACCGAAACATCACGGCTGCGGGGAGACTAGTTACCGGTTAGCAGGTTATTCGATTGTTTTTTTCTTTTTTTTTCTTTTTTACGGTCCGGGCTTTTTTCGTGTCAATTCCGGAAAAAGAGAATAGAGCATGAAAAGTTAATTTACCAGTCTAGGTCGCATAGTAATTATATATATAAGAAAAAAAAAACTACGCCCTTGGCCCCCCTCCCCATTCGGGCTTCCCAGAACCTGTTGGTCATCATTTATCGCCTGATGGGAGGGGGTGGGGCAGGAGGATTTTTGCTGTGTCACCATAAAACTTACCTGATTCCCCCCCGGCCCTGTAGTATTCTAACAGTTTTCTACAGTTTTCCCTTTATATTCTGTCAGCTACAGCTGATCTCCCTCCGTTTTTTCCTGAAAACTATGTGATCCCAAAATCCTCCGACCCCTCCCCCCAGGTGCTAACTTATGACTGACCCCTTACTCGATCTCGCGATGCTACGACTAACATCAACGGTCGTATCAACATCCAGTGATGACGATACAGAAGAATAGAGCTCAAAAAGGAATAAATAGATACTTTTCGGGTATTCAAACCAGAAAAAGCTTAGATGTTTTCCGGTAAAATAAGATGCAATAATGCAACGGAAAATTTTGTGAATTCATCCAGCAGTAGTGAAAAACAGCACGAACAACAGAATAGTTTTTGACAAGGCTGCTTATCTATGTCACTCATGAACCCTTAGGCTCGATTACCAGCCGCTGTTCAGCAACCGGAGCCCGAGCTCCTCCCCGAACTTCCCTCTCCTCTCTTCTCGAGGAGGAACGAAAACGACCGGACACGAGAGAGCGGCAGAAATCGAGCCTAGTTAACTTTTGAACCCTAAGAGCGACTGGTATCTTATTTCTCCTTACAATATCACTCCTGTATCAAACATCAAGGTTACGAGAATAAAGGAAATGATCACCAACTTAAGAAATTCTTGATTTTCAAACAAATTCTCCTTGTGAGCACCACAGTAAATATATGGAGAACAATATGGGGAATATGCATACTGATGTTAGGGTGTAAAGGATAAGGTGCGTTCCGAAGTAAAGGAACAAATAAAAAAGGGTTACTGAATTTAGAAACTCTACCCGAAACTTGGATTAAATTTCTCATGACACACGACTAATGATTTGGTGACAAGGATGCGGTTTACTACTTCCGCTGCATCTCTGCGAACCTCAGGTTCTAGAGATGATTCTATCGTATTTTGTTTAGTGCATTTTTAGTGGAAAGTTCTCCTCCAGTTTGCTAATACTGCAAATAAAAGAAAGCATTCTTTGATGCTCTTTTCAAGTGATGAAAATCTCGAAACGTGATGCTGTCATTTTGTTGTGAAGCATGCGTATCTAGGAGTAATCGCTTTGTTTAATCGCATGTCGTTCTATCTACCGATGTAGAGAACATCGATTGAATATCTGTCTTTAAAAATTTTACAGCAAAGAAAGTTAGACATACCTTTTAACTGAAATTCGCAGAGAAGACGTTCTCTCGATTGTTTCAGATTACTGCCTCATCCCGAGTGGCGCTACTGCAAAGGATGAAGCAACCTTTGAACTGTATTGTTCATTTAATCACGTAACCGGATGGACAAATTACCATGGGCTCTCAGTGTTCGTCATTGTGGTGTCGTCATTCAGAAACAAAGACTATTTCTCTTTCATTGCCAAAGGCTAACTGAACTTTATCAACAAACACGTTACACATATAGAGGTAGTAGAGTTTACTGACTTATAGTAATTTTTACAGCATGCAAGTATTTCCAGTACAGTATGATTACTGCGAGTAGCACATTTACTGAGTCAAGTAAAAAGTGCTCACCTTAGCACCCATACTGAGCTTATTGTCAATAATTACAAGATAGATGTATGTATAATCAATGCACTACAGTCATTGTGTCAGTATGAGGCACTGCAAGTAAAAATGCTCGAGAACGAGAGAGGATGGAAACTGTAATGAAGCATTGAAGTGCAGATTACTTTCGAACACCTTCCAAAGCTACTTTTGCCGAGTTTGTTTTTCAGTCAAATTAAAGTGAAATAGAAAAGGCAAAATGGAGAAGCCAAGCGCTGCTTTGCTAATCTGAACGTCGAGGGCTATAGGGCGAGGAAAGCTTCTCAGGCGAAACTTCGCAATACAATTTCGACAGGATGCTTCCTGCACATGAATGGAATGCCGCAAAATTTGGCCTGATCGCAAAGAACAAAGAAAGTACAATGAATAATAAACGATGAACAATGAGGTGTGTTGGCATTTTTCTTCTATCTCATACTTCCTTCATCGAATTGTCCTAGCATAGCCAAGCACTTAAAAATGTTGATGATAATTCTAGTGAGATTGATGATAACTTTGATGATGCGGAAACAAAGAAAGTTAATTGAACAGTGGCCAGCATAGACCTCAAAATAACTAAAATCTGGTTAAGGTCTACCCTGTAGCCATTCTTGGAAAGCGTTTTATGACCTCAGGTTTTTAATTAAATGGACTTGTCATATGATATGCATTAGCAAAAATCTCTCCAAACTTCCAATTCTAGTAAATTTTATTAAAGAGAGAGATATTTATTAACGAGCGGTGTTTGCGAAATTTCGCTCTAATCTATATAATTGTGGTAGATTAATCTTCAAAGCCCTCTGAACACTAATTTTGCAACCTCAGTCTACATGTTAGGACTCATGTCGTCAGGTGACATTTTTGGCATAGTAACAGGAGGGACGTGGGTTCAAATCCCGTCCAGGGCAAATTTTCTTTTCAAACATTTATTCTATTTAACAAATGGTAAACACCACAGCGTACACTATTGAGTTATGGATGCACGCGGGAGGTTGCTAAGCACGAAAGAAGCGTAAGAGTCGCTCGAGGCGATAGCCGAGAGCGACTCTAGCTTCTTGAGTGCCTAGTAAACCTACCAAGTGCATCCATAACTCAATAGTGTACGCTGTGGTGTTTGCCATTTGTTTTATAACATAACATTAACACATTGTAGCTAAAGAGTTGCCTTTTGTTTAACAAATCTTACGTGACCAGAAAAAAACAAGCGCGCGCGGAAAAATAGTCTTTGCATTTGCTCACGTCAGCAGCGTACACCCATGGGCAAATGGGGGGACGCTAAATTGACCAATCAGAGCGCGCGCTTTACTTTGGTTATGTTATAATTAAGTATGATTACTTGGGGTGAACAGGGTCAGGGTTTCCCTCGTATACAGAATTTTTTAATTGAAATTAGCCTGTATCCGTAATTGGATCCTCCTTTGTCATCCGCTAAGTTGATTTCGGTCGTGTATCTTTAATAGATCCTTAGTTGGGTTTCATATGGGGTTATAGGCTTCCCCTACCCTGTCACCTTAAAAAGTTAAATTTCCCGGGAGACCATGTCTCCGATCACGTAAATCACATCTTTGATTGCCGCGTTGCGAGCGGCGTTTGCGTTGCCAGCATGGTTGTCCTGATAGTGTAGTGGCCATCACACCTGACAAGTAACAGGAGGGACGTTGGGTTCAAATCCCGCTCATGGCAAATTTTCTTTTCAAACATCTATTCTGTTTATATTTTACACACACACATATATATATATATATATATATATATATATTTATATATAAACCATATGTCCTAGTGTTACGAAATCACATTGACGATCAGTTGCGAAATTTGGATGACTCCATGATAATCTTAAATTCCGCGACTCGACTTCCAGAGAAACCTTTTTAAAATTGACCAATCTATACCTATTCCACTTCACCGCTCAATTGTTACTCCGCACCATACTTTAATAGTTAGCGCTATGTTGGTGTACGAAAAAAAGTTGTCCTCGTTCCAGTTTTCCACAGGTACATAGAGTTCCCTTTTTCGTTGGAGGCTGTAAATTTGTACAAAAAAACTGACAAGGTGCAGTTGTGCGTCCAAGGTCACCGGTACGTGGAGGCCTCATTTTGTGAGTGCGTTTTGTAGGCAAGCAGAACAACATAACAAATGGTGATGGTAAGTTCCTTGCCCTTCGCGCCTGTCTCAGCCTACCCCTTGCTCGCCTAAGCCGGAGAAAAATGACTCTCTTCTGCAGACTAGTTTATCGGGCGATAACTTAGAATATGGATCCTTACCTCCATGTAAACAGGCCCTTAATGTGGAGCTTTTCCAAGCGTCCCTCTCCTCGCATAAAATTTACCAAGTTGTAGTGCATTGTGTTACATAGCGCCACATAACGTTACCACTTAGGGAACGTAACTAGGAAACTGACCTATTACTCAATCGTGTCGTAAATCTACTCTCCCAAGTGTTAGTAAAATAACTGATGGTATATCTAATTTAATTAGAGGACGTGCTGAAACATGGGATATGTGCAAGAGTTATCTGCAACTAAGTTGCTCCCTCAGTGTCTCAAATTAGTATTAGTTATTACTTCGTTTGTTCTAACTTGTGGTGTTAAGCCATGCAGTAAAGGCGATAGGTGCAACTAGAGAAGGAGATTCCCAACGTACAGCGCCAGTACAGTAAGTGACTTAGTATCCTCAGTAAAACCAAGCCACTTTAGATTGAGTTCTTATTTCCGTTCGGCTGCAAACCCAAATGGATTTTTGTAAAAAGTAGGATGGTAAAAATGGTAAAGTGGCTACGTGGCTATGAGAGATTGCATTTACGTGATTGTATTACTACACTGAGTTGAAATGAGTAGAAAACAGTGC